CCCCCAGCCCCCCTCCCCGTTCCAACGGGCCTGTGATGGAATGTGCGATGAAAAGTGGTCATATCTCTGTTATTTCCATTCAAAACTGTTAGTTCCACTCTTACAAACATAATATTTAAATTTGCTCTCCCAACCTGGGAGGAGAAAACGAAAGTCCTCGACCCTAGTGGCCCTAATACAGGGCCTCCGCCGGCAAGGAGCCAGGTGGGGCTTGCCCACTGATCCAACTTTTTTGCTAAACAAAAAGCTTTTGTAAAGCCTTCTTTCAAGAGTCTTTGATTTGCCCTTCCCCCTCTCAATTTCCTACTATACTGCTAGACAAAATTATAGTAAAAATGCAACTGTAATGTTGTGAAGCCATCCCTCGTCATCCATACCATTTCTTCCCTGATGGCTGCCGATCTATCATATATTCTATTGATAGGAGAAGCAGATTTAAATTTCTACCACAAAATTAGTGTCGCCCTCGTTATCTAAGTTTTTAATCCAACCAGTTGCTACGGCCGCCAGCAGACTGTTAAACATATAAGAAATTTGAAAAGGTCACTACCACTAGAAGATGGCTTCCAGCCAGAGCCGTTCGGGGTTCTCTGAAGAGGTAGGAAGGTGTTCTCTTAAAGGATAAAATCAATAGGTTTTTGAAAATTTGGTGCAGGAACTTGATCTGACAGTATTCATTCACATTTAACAATTATTTAAGATTCTGGCAAGATGAAACATCGCTAGCGGCAAACGGTTCTTTTTGAACGTTGATAATGGAAATTTATAAGGCAGTAATACAAATCTTGCCGAAATACAGACAGTCCTTATAAACTTCAATAAAAATAGGAAATGAAACTAGTTCGAGGTTGCCAACAACCAGCGCTCGGGAAAAGGCAGACAAACACACCAATTTATCGAAACTGATTGAATATTTAGACTAAGGAAACTTTGACAAAAAGGGGAAATTTGACAGCTTTACTGTCTCTAGGGCATGTAAGTTGGGAAGTAACGCGGACACGTTTCGACTGGGAAGTTACGTTTCGACTATCATATAAAGGGGCATTTCTACTGGCCTACACGGAATACCCATCTTCGTGAATGGATTTACTTGTTAAATCGAAAGAAACTACCATAAAGTATCCAAACAGTTAGAATATCGGCATTTGAAGTCGATTAAATACTTAACAACTTTGATCCTATGCTTTGTGATGCTTTATGAATGAATATTTTGTACCTAAAACAAATTTCGACACAAAAACCTCTTGTCATGCAATGGTATCAGATCATCACCAACAATCACATAATCAAGCAATGCAGCCAAAAACACTTCGCAATTCAATAATTTGATTATAATTTGCTTCCTTAAAAACATGTGCGCATGTTCTTTCTGCTTCTGCAGTAAATAATTTGCCTTATGTAATCCCTGGAATTGCTCTTTGGTAGCCTGAATTAGTGGACATTCACTTGTGCAAAAGCCTACACCAAATAACAACTAACTCACAAAGATATTCCGAGGCCCGGGGCTTAAATCACAAACAGAAGTTTTTAACTTGCTTTATTGCAAGGCATATTTTGCTTAAGGTTTTTTCTCTTAAGAATGGATGAAACATTGTCTCCACTGTCATTGGGGCAATTAAGAGAGCTGTTTAAACGGAAGACAAAAATGAGG